CCTCTGGCGCCTCAGGAGAAGACGAAATAAAGGCGGCCTACGGTACTAAATATGTTATTCCATTAGATTTTGAAATTATCACGAACCACGGTGCATACTACCCAAGGCAGCTAAGTGAACTGCAGTTCGAAGTGACCCTACCAGATACTACGAACATCCTGCAGGGAAAAGACGTAAGTTCCTCAGCCGTCCACCCATACACCGTTACTAACTTGGAGCTGCAGTACGAAACGGTATGCAGTGAAGAGCTGGCTCGTAGCGCTGGCATGGAATACAGCTCCGGCAAGGCTTTTCTTTACGACCACGTTGTGATGTATAAGACGTTCAGCTTTACGAACAACGTCGAAGAGGTTATTAACCAAAGCATTAACCTTCCCAGGCGCAGCCTTACAGGGTTAATGTTACTGTTTGCAAAGACATACACCGCAGGATTGCGTGACTCTGAGGCATTCTTTAATCCTAACATTACCAACGTAGGTGTTAGCATTAACGGAGTGCCTAACAAGGTTTACTCACAAGGGATAAAGCCCGCGGATATGTACCGGGAAGTCGCGCGCAAGTTTGGCGACCAAATTGCCCCAAAGGAGTTCTTTAAGGATAAGTACGCGTTATGGATTGACATGCGCACCACCAACGACGAAGACCTACATGGGCAGGGCCTACGTTTAGTAAATACGCAGGATGGAATAACCTTGGAAATCAAACGCACCAAAGATGCCAGCGACACTACTAAGATAAACGCGTATATCTTCGTGGTGTCTGACGCGCAGCTAAGCGTAGAAATGAATCAGCTAAAGAGCGTCGCCTACTAGTTTCGTGAACAAAGTGAACGAAAAGTTAAAATATTCTTTATGTATAATATGCTTCGCGTATTTCAAAACAACGAAACCAAACTGCAATGCATAGTGCAAGGCGACAAGCCTTACTTTAAAGCAAAGGAGGTGGCGTCTGCGTTAGGATACGAAAACACCAAAAAAGCTATTAGTGACCACGTCTCTGAAAAACATAAGAAAAGGCTGAGTGAGTTAAGGGTAACGAATCGCATCCCTTATACTATTCACCCACATTCCGTGTTCATATCCGAACCTGGGTTTTATCAATTAATATGTAGTTCAAAGATGCCAAAGGAAGAAGCATTTCAGGATTGGGTATTCGAAGAGGTCCTACCCGCGCTGCGTAAGGACGGTCGATATGCAATAGAAAAGCGGTTTGACGGTCCAAACAAGTTGGTATTTAAAATCGAAAATGAGTTT